CCCCAAAACCCCAAAACCCCAGATTATAAATTATCTTCAATAATAGAATTAGTAATAAAATTTAATAAAATGACATCTAGACAAAATTTATAGCAACAATTGACATTCTAAAATTAACTCTTATCATAAAACAGTCACAAAGATTCAAGCTACTGAAGAGAAATAACTCCTGGCTTTGACAATGACTACAGAAAAGATTCAAGAACTTCAGAAATAAGTTTTGATAATTATTCAAAAGATGCATTCTGGATTGATATCTAAAATCTATATAAATCTAGGTAAAAGCAAAAAATTGAAAAGCAACTAAAAAAGTTCTTCTCCAAATAGTAAGTATACTTAAATTTCAAGTAAATATTATAGTATAATGGACAAAAGATCGTATTTAACTAAGCTAATTGAACCAAATGAGTAATTTTACATGCTATTAATAGATGTGATGATGTACTGTAAATACAAAATATTAAATGATGAGACCTCAGCAAACGACTCATCAATTGTTGATTTACTTAAAAAATCAAAGAACTCATTAATAAAATTATTACATTAGCCAGAGTATAAAAGTCTAATGGCTCAAATTGCTTTGTCTGAAGAATCAAAATAAAAAAATAATAATTAAAATCCATTTACAGAACTGAATGTAAAGCAAATGAATTCCGGACATTAAGGAGTAAAGCCTGAGGGAGCCTTAAATGAATACGAAAATTTAGACGAAAATTAGCAGTTAGCCACTGCTGAAGAGTAAAATTTTACCAATCTTAGAGAATATGTCGAAATGCAAGACATAAGATGAATTAGTATGGGTGATGAGAGCTTAGATGAAGCAAAACCACCTTCAATCGATAATTTTAGTTAGCAAGCAAATTATAGTTTTGAAGTGGGAGCATAGAGATCATAAAACATTTAAGGTCTAATGAAACTTATTTCTTCTCTAACAATGATAGGTGCAATGCTTTTATAAGTAGGTGCTTCTGTAGAATGTGAAGAATGCTATGTGTACTACATTGCAGTTATTGAGAGTATCTATGGTTAAAACTGCCTTAAACTAGGACAAGCATATTATCTTTTAGGCATATTTTATGATTAACAAGAAAGCTTTGTTAAAGCATTGATTTGTTTGATGAAATCTCATGATATATTGAAAGAGCATCTCGGATCTATTCATAAAACTGTAGGTGACTGTTTATTTGCCATGGCCTTAGTTTTTAAACATTAGAATATGTTAATCAAAGTAAAATATATGAATTGTATAATTGTTTATTTTTTATAGGCATAGCAGTATTTAAAATAAGCGGAAAAGGTATACACTGAAGGTATTGGCAATAAAAATTTGAGGATTTCTAAAATTTTTGAAGAAATGGGAAAAATAAATATATTGAGGAAATGTTATAACGAAGCTTATGATAATTTGAGATAATGCTTATTAATTAAAAAGGAACTCTTTAGATATAAGCCAGATTGTAAAGAAGTTGTTAGAGTTTAAAGATTCATTGGGGGTTTATTAGCAATTCTAGAAGTTGAAGGAAATATAGTAGAAAATAATTTATTAAAGAGTAAAATTAAAGACAATATTGAAAAGGAAAAATCAAAGGATAAAGATGAAAAAGAAAAATTGAATAAAATTAATTAAATTCTAAAAAAGACTGATGAGAATAGTCAAAAGGATTAAAAGGCTATTAAAGATGAAGATAAGCAATTGATTGATATGATAGCAAAGTCTTTATAATCTAAGAAGACCAGAAAAGTTGAAGATTTTGTTGATGAAAAGATATTACCTAAGAATAGATTAGAAAAGTTATTTAACCAAAGGGCTCATCATATTGAGTTAGATGAGATTGAATATTAGATACTTTTAACATTTTCTCTGCTCTTGACTCTAAATTCTTAATAAAAACACTCATTAGTTGACATCAACAAAGTTGAGAATAAGATACCCTTCTTAACCATTTAATTCATTAGATCTCTTGATCAAACTCAATAAACTATTCTACTCCAATCTGGATTATTTTATCAAAAGCTAAACTATAACTATGTTGACAACCTTCCTCTACTGATATATGATATAAAAAAGCATTGTAAGAATTTCTTCGAGCGAAGTAGAGAGGAGTGGGAAATGGAGCAGATGCTGGTAGAAATAATTTAATCTCCCAAAATGAAGACATATAATCTTAATTTGACTCATTCCTAACTTAAAGCTTTTGAAAGTATATTAAAGCATGAGTTGCCTTTGAAATTTCTTATTTATATGTTTGAAGAAAGACAGAAAAAAGCCATCTTAGAGATGCTATTCATTGCGATATTTTCTGATTCATCGAATGAAGAGGCACATGAATGCTTCAAGATATTCAATCTTTATATATGGTATTTTCATCTATTCGATGACTTTCAGAACGAATACTTAGATAAGCTGTTTCCAAAGAACTAGACAGATGAGGAATCAGATTTCTATCATTAGCTTTTGACAAATTTAATAAATAGCTTATAAATTTAAGATAAGATAAAAGTTCTCCAGATTAATGAAAAAATTCTTAACAGACTGACATTTGAGCAGCTTTTGCTTTACAAATAAATCAAGATAGCCCCTAATAAATAAGATTAACTTTTAGCATTCTTGAATTTGATGGATGAAAAAGAATGCTACTAAATTTATACAGATTACATTGTGAATTAGAAAAGAACTTCTTCAATCAAGAAATCTTTGAAGCAATTAACATTCTCGACTAAATATATCTTCTAAATTGAAATTAAGTAAAAGCTGACTACTATTGATGAGGGACCATTAGATCTTGGCAAAACAAGAACTATTAATCATTCACAACAGACAGCTTAGTTTGTTCTAAATCAGCTTCAAACTCCTCAGTTGGATCACCTCCAAAGTGTCATAGAGGTAAGTGATAGAGATTCAGCCCAACTAACTAAAGAGGAACTGATTCTCTTGAGACTAAATAGACTTTCAAAGTAAAATGAAGATATGTCCCCTACTAAATTAAGTGGAATTTAATAGCTTAGTGACATTGGAGATAATTTTGGAATGAGGTTCCTAAGTAGCAACTATGAAGAAATGCATTTGCTAAGAGATATGAATTCTTCTAGTATCAAAGAAGCAGTAGCAGAGATGGATTAATTCCTACTAAGATAAAATGAAAGCATGAAAAATTTATCAAAAGACTCAATCATGAACATCAATAAAAAGGCATTAGATGAGTCGTCAGTGAACATGTCAGTCTATTCCAGAGATGCCGGCACTTCTATCTTAGTTAACAGGCTAATTGATAACAGGATGCTTGAACTTTAGAACATTTCAATGAGATCTAACGATAACGGCAACCATTTGACTAGCTAGCAGCAGTACATGTCACAACTAACCTTATTCAATCTTAAGAATGATTCATTTAGAGGAGTTTCAACCCAGGAGCTTGATGAGTCCTTGATTTCAGCCAGATCCTCTAAACATATAGCAAACCCAACAACCAAGAGAATCTCTTAAGGCTTTGACTCCTTCAAAAAAAAGAATAATATGCTTGTTGATGAAGAGTTGAGGGTATTTGTAGGGCTATATTAGAAAAAAGATGCGTCTCTTAACTTTGACAAGCTAAAGAAGTCATTCTTATTTATGGATGAAAATCTTGTAGACTACATGAGGATATTTGTATTAGAAGCTCAGGGTATCACTGATAACATTGAAGAACATGGATTTTCCATTGTAGACTTTGAGAAGCTAAAGCTGCAGGTTCCTAGGCTACTGACTAGAGTAAATACATTGTTCCTTGAGATTCACATGATTCCATTGATGAAGGAGATAGAGTAGAATTGTTCACAAGTATTAGAATCAGTAAACGAAGTTGTAAGCAATAGCGTAATTGTAGAAAAGACTATTACAGACATTTACAATTTCATCCAAAGAAACAAGAATTAAGTGTCATATATGAAGCCTCTCAGTGAAATGCTTGGTGTTGTCATTAGCCCAGCAAACGAAAGGTACATAAACGAGGTAAAATTTAATATCAAACTTAATTTTCATAGTATGCATTTTAAAGACTAGATAATGATGAATTTGTAAGAATATTGAATTAGAATTTCAAAAGCCTAATGACATTATGCAAGGATAAGCAAGGAAATCTGATTGATGAGATGAGTAAAATGACTTAAAACTTTAGAATCAAAATCAGAGAACTCGAGTAAAAATTCATCAGTTTCAATTTTTATAGAATTAATATTCAAGCAGCCTTCAAAGATGGTGATAGTCATTTCTGCAAGAAATTCACGAAACTGCCTAAGAAGGGACTCAAAATTTAAGAGAAGACGACTGAGATTCTAGCAAAGACAAAAGAAGACATTAAGAAATTAGATGCTGTCTTCAAAGCCCCTCAAAATATTAATGGAACTACTCCATATAATGAAAATGCCAGATATGAAAATATGCTAGCATATTATAGGCTTTTGGAACTTATGAACAAAACATTATATCAATATCAATGAAGAAATATGATTATTTGATTAACTTTATTTTTTCATCTATATTTAAATGGACTGATTTTATTCAAGGGGTTTTGGGGTTTTGGGG